GGGGGCGGGGGGCTCGGGGGCTGGAGGTGCAGACACAAAGGACGTCACCATATACAGGGGAGTAGAGGAAGACGCTGGTTTAACCCCTTGAGGAGTGGAGGCTGGGGTCGGGGTCCCAGTGTTAGGGACGGAAGACTTGGGTTTACTTGGGGTGACCTGGGCACTGGGTGGGGAGGGCTCTGCTGGCCGGGCAGCCTGCAGGCCTCTGTGCTTTCGTGGGGGGGTTTGGGGTGGTGGACCCACAGCCTTGAGGGAGGACAAGGCCTGGCTGGGGGGTGTTGGGGGAGATGCAGGGCTGAGAGCAGCTGACTGGGGGCCTGGGGGACCAGGAGCTGCAGCAGTGGTCGGGGACGGGGCCAGTGAGGTAGGAGAGTCCGGAGGCGGGGCCCTGGCTGGCCCTGAGGTAACAAGGGTGTCTCGGTGAGCAGCAGGTAGCAGAGCTGAGGAATCTGAGGAAAGACAAAGAAAATCATCACCACGGTGCCCCTAGCAGCAAAACTGCGGTGCTCTGAGCAGGGGGTGGATCCTGGGCTTAGGGTCCCCTTCTTTATCTGGCCCCCCTCCCCCGCCCCCCATCGCGCTGACCTTGTGTGCCCCTGACGAGGACCTTCTCAGAAGGGTTGCTGAAAGGCCCTTGTCCTGCACGGTTGGCACAGGCCACACGGAACCTCACCGTCACGCCGATTGGTAGGTGGGTCACATTGTAGTAACAGTCGAGGATGCCTGAGCTCACTGGGTGCCAGGAAGACTCCCCTGCGGGCACCATCGGAGGAGGGCTGAAGTCACAGAGGGGTGGCCCAAGCTCCCAGCGCTATCTGTAAGGAGTCTAGGGAGCAGAACTCTGCCCGGGGAGGACATTTGCCCCCCTGGCTTCTTCGCCTTCCACCTGCCACCCCTTCCCCCAGCCAGCCTGTGCAATCCCTCACCGTCCACCCGCCGCTCCAGCGTGTACGTGCAGGGTGCCCGGCTATCTCCTGGCTTCCAGAGCACCAGCGCTGTGTCTTGGTAGGTCTGGGGTACCTCGGGAGGGGCTAGCTTCCCTGGGACACCTGGCAAGAGAAAGGGAGCCTCAGTGAGCCCCTATGCTCCAGCTTAGAGCCATCTAGCCCTGCCCCAACCCCCTCCATCACAGCCGCCCCCCCCTTAGTCTCTGCCCCAGGCTCACGGGCCACAGCCACGGTACAGGAGCTGGTGACACTGCCCAGGACATTGGTAGCTGAGCACTCATAGAGCCCCGCGTGCCGCTTGCCCGCCCGGGGGATGCTCAGCAGCTGCCGTCCATCTTTGCAGGACACGATGACCACTGAGGGCTCTGACCGCAGGGACTGCTTGTCTGCGGACAGAGAGGAGCAGGAGGGGCTGCTGAGTGGGGCAGCACATATGGTCCTCTGGGACCCCTCGCCCACCACTCCCCCAAGCCTCGCAGGGCATTGGGGTCATGTGCCATGCCCCCCTCTGGGGAGAAGAGATCTCACCTTTCTTCCAGGAGATGCGGGGTGCAGGGCAGGCTGCCGGCAGGCAGAGCAGGGTAGCTGCCTCTCCCTCCAGCAGCACCTGGTCCTTGAGTTTGATGTGGAAGACTGGGGGGAAGTCTGCAGGGAGAGCAGATGGCCATGGGTTGCAAGGACCTCAGCTCACACAGCGGAGGGAGGGGAGGATACATGTGAGAGGTGGAGAGCAGAGTAAAAGCTTCTCTCTTCCCAGTCAGATGCGAACAGTGTCACCCCAGGCCACACTTTCGAGAATTTTCTTTGGGGTGAGCAGCACTCTCTCCAGGCACTCGCTGTGTGTAGAGCTATCTTTTCCTTTTGCTGACTATGGAAGATGCATGGTAGTGACCTCATTCATATGTTGGCAAATCACTCAGAGCAGCGCCTGGCACTGCGTCAAGTGCTCTATACACACTTGTTAAATAAAATAAAAACAAGTAAATATTGAAAAACCGTAATGGTTAAGCTGGCAATACTCACTCCCTCTGGGGCACACCACAGGGAAGTGAGAGGAGCTGGTCACCTGAGCTGAGAATCCTGGGGTTGAACACAATATTCAATCCAAAAACGCAGTCTCAAAAGCTCTGAAGTCATGGCAAAACAGGGGGCAGAGCCAGAAAGTGTGTCAGCCTCCCCACCCCTCATTGCCCCTGGAGTCCAAGGATTCAGTTCTAGACCCTCTATACTCCTTCAGGTCAGCCGAGTGGTGAGAGCCTTTGAAGGGGCAAGAGACAGTATCTGCATGACCTTGGACCATGTCTTGTGTAAATTGAGGAAAAGAAAAAAACACCAAGCTCATGGGGTGGTTGTGAGAATTACAAGGAGCATATACAGCGCTCAGCACGTGTCTAAGATATAACCATAAGTGCTCATAAGCGTTAGCTCTTGTTATTGTTATGATTATTAGCTCATGAATATGCTCAGTAGCGAGCCAGGCACAGACCCTCAGAGCAAGAGGCTGTTTCGGCAAAGCTGGCTTCACAGCTGGCTGGTGAACCGGTCACGGCCTGGGTGCAGATGGGCCAAGGTCTCTGCTCAGTGCAGTCGCCTGTGGCTCCTTCGTGCCGTGAGCACTTGTATTCCTGCTCCCTGGCATATGTCTTTAGAGATATTCCAATCTGGT